CAATAAGTGGTTGCCACTGCATTATACTTAGTTTCTTTGTAGATAGAGGAACCCCTAAATATTTAAAAGGAAGTTCACCATTTGAGAGCCCAACATCTGCAGGATTTGTTGTTTATCTACCAAAGAGACCCCTCCAAAAGAAGCTTCACTCTTACTAAGGTTTGCCGGTAGACCTGAAACCTGAGTGAATTGATAGAATTTTTGCTGCATCACTTGTACTGTCTTTAGATCACCTCTGGTAAATAGTAATAAATCATCTGGAAAACATAGGTGAGTGATCCCAAGCTTTGCACATCTAGGGTGATACTTAAAATCCCTCTCCTGCTTCAGACTAGCCAAGTTCCTACTCAGATACTCCATTGTTATGGCAAATAAAAATGGAGACATGGGATCTCCCTGCCTCAATCCTTTAGCAGCATTAAAGGGCTTAGTTGGTTCCCCATTAACTACAATAGGGTAGTTAACTGTCTGAACACATTCCATAACCCAAGATATGAACAGTTGAGGGAATCCTAGTTCTTCCATAACTTGCTTCATATAAGGCCACTCCACATAATCATAGGCTTTCTGGAGGTCTATCTTTATCATGCACCTAGGAGATATATTCTTCCTAGTATAAGCCTTCACCAGTTCATGTGCCAAAAGGATATTGTCTGCTAGTTTTCTCCCAGGTATAAACCCTGCTTGTACTTTATTAATAATTGTACTAATGATGCATTGCATTCTTGTTGATAGAACCTTGGATATCATTTTGTAAAGGGCAGTGCAACATGCTATAGGTCTGAACTCTTTCACAGCTTTAGGCTTAGACACCTTAGGAACCAAGGTTATGGCTGTGCAATTTATAGCTCTATACAGATTCCCAGTGCTAAAAAACTCCATAACAGCTGCAGTGACTTCATTTTTAATAACAGACCATGCTTTCTTGAAGAAATATGCATTATAACCATCTACACCAGGAACCTTGTCATTGTCAATAGAGCATAATCCTTCATAGATCTCTTATGGAGTCACTTCTCTACATAACTCAATCCTTTGTTGTTGATTGAGTTTAGTTCCCATACACATAACCCTTTTGTCTATAGCAAGGAGTGAATGGGTAGCAGTACCCATCAGTGATTTATAAAATTCTACTATCTCCCTTTGGATGCTTTCTGAATCAGTAATCCTGTTGCCTGTGCTGGACTGCAACTCCACTATTTGCTTCCTTTGGCTCCTCTCTTTTACCACATCTGAGAAATATTTAGTATTAGAGTCACCTAGTTGTATCCATTTTGCTCTGACTTTTTGTTTCAGAGCTCCCTCTTCTATTAGATCCCATTTTTCTAAATTCTGAATCAACTCCTTTTCTTGCAGTAGCAGCTCAGAGGAACTACTTGTGTCTATGCTTTTTTGGACCTGTTCAAGCTTAATTCTGGCTATCTCTATCTTTTGTCCAATGAACTTAAACTCCTCTACATTCAGTTTCCTCAGTACTAGTCTTAGTGTTTTTAATTTCATCCACACATTCTGCATCTTCTGTCTGTGAAAACTTTGCTTCCAAATTTGCCGCACTTCATAGTTGAACCTCTCATGCTCAGCCCATATATTGAAAAATTTGAAAGGAATTTTCCTACTTCTGTGCTGATCATTGAAGGTAAGAGTCATATGAGCATGATCAGAAATAAATGGTAGTTCATTCACAGTGTATATATGACCCCATTGCATCATCCATTCATAATTACCAAACATCCTATCAATTCTGCTCCATATCCTATTACCACCACCTTGCTTGTTGGACCAAGTATAATAATCACCCTCCCAAGCCAATTCACTAAGCTTCAGGTCTTGGATACATTTGCTGAAATCTTGAGTCTCAGCCTTAGTAACTGGATTTCCATGCATTATATCTTGTAGTTGCAAAACAACATTAAAATCTCCCCCAATCACCCATGGTATAAATGTCATTTGTTCTATCTCTTTTAGGTTATCGCATAACAGTTTCCTTTGTTCAACTGTATTAAAACCATAAACTATGGACACTGCATATTCATGATCATTTCTGATATTTGTGACAGCACAATGCAGTACCTGTGCCTCTGCTTTAATCACCCTGATTGAGTAGTAATTAGTATCCCATAGTACCCATATTCTTCCATTGATTGCAGCATTATAGTTGTTGAACATCTCCCACCCAGGGGCTATGTGATGGCTGACACTTCTAGCATTGTGTTCCTTTACTCTTGTTTCAATGATCCCAGCTATACTAATGTTTTTATTCTTTAAATAGTTTTTCAGCTCCTTCCTCTTGTGCCACTTATTAATGCCCCTAACATTCCAGATTAACCACCTCATTGATTGAGTTTAGATCCCCCACCTCTATCATGAGGTAGGTTAGAACTTCCACTAGCACATGCTGTTCCACTTTTCAGACTGCCTCTACTAGCTAAAGGTGTTAACATAGAAAAGTTTTCAAGGCTGAAATCTAATACTTGTTTCTTGCCCTTATCAATTGCTTCAACTCCATAACCCTCTGCATCTCTAGCCAACTGGTGCTGACTTGCTTGTTGTGACTGTTCTGTTGGATATTGCTGAGGCCTTTCCTTGGCAATTTCATTTGGCTTTGTCACTCCAGCTGTCTTAGGTACCTCAATACCAGTTGCTTCTGTGTGCCCAGGTTTTGAATTACTTGTAGCATTTGTGACTGGTCCTTTAGTTCTCCATTCATAAGTGACTTTTTTTGGCTCTCTTCTCCTCTTTGGTTGAACCTCTTTTTGCTCTTTAGGCTTTTGGTGAGTAGAACAGACATGGCCAATAGCTTGGCATTTGTCACAATACATTGATTTCCACTCATATATTAGATCCTGTTGGAAAACTCTCCCCCTAGGATCCCTCACCATAATCTCTGTCGGCATAACTTTAGTCACATTCACTTCAATCAACATTCTTGCATATGAAATTCGTGTTTGCTTGGTAGTACACTCATCAACAAATAAAGGTTTTCCAATAGCACTGGCAATTTTACTCAATGCTTAATTTCCCCAGCAACTCATTGGTAATTTAGGGAAAATTATCCACAGAGGTATATCAGTTAGGAATTCCTTACTTAGATCAAAATCTGGAGACCAGGGCTTAAGAATTATTGGCTTATTTCTGAAGGTGTGAGGTCCATCATAAAATATTCTATGCATATCAGCTAGGTTTTGGAATTTTATCACATAATATCCATCCTCATGAACAAAAAGATCTGGTTCAGCGACATTAAGCCAATGTTGAGTAATATACCTTTGTATAGCATTATAGCCCGGATTTTCACCCACAATATAGGCTATCATCGCAACACTCCACTTTTCTTCAGCTTCCTTCACATCCTGCATCTCAAGTTGTACCATAGTTTGCCCTTCTATAATCTGAGGAGGGACATATCTAAGAGCCATTCATGAGTTGCAACTCGATTCTGTTGAAACAAGTTAGACCACTTTTTTGGTTCATCTCTTCGATCTACATGATTTCCCTCTTTAGCCTCTAGATTCACATGTTCTCGAGTTTCAATAACAGCTTCTCTTTGTTTTGTAGTTGCCTCTATGCTTAGATTCTTCTGCATGTCCTTAATTGTCAAGTCAGCTACTGTTCCATTGAAATTCCCAGCAGCTATAGCAGTACTGCTAATCTCACTTTGCTTAGAGTTGCAGGAAGGTTTGATGTGCCTAGAGTCAGCTTCCTACTAACCTCCAAGCTAGTCAATGGACTATCCTCACCTTTTTCTGCTTCTACTCCTTCATGCTAATCTGGTGTTTGCACAACTTGGTTTCGCTGTTCAACTTTCAAATTGGTGCTAATTAAGTTTCTAATAGTTGAGATCGGCGTCTTAGGGACCTTTTTTTGGCCTTCCTCTTCCTCTACCTCGCCCCCTAGCCATGCAGCCACACTCGGCGCATTTTAGTTTCTTTCCTTTTTGTTTTTTATTTTAATTTATTTTCTTTAGAGCTTTTTATTTCTATTTTTAAATTTTTTTAATTCTGTTTTTACTTTTTAATTTCTTCTGAAAATTTACAATATGTATTTTTCTTACATTATTTATCTTTTATTTCTCTACCTTTACATCTTATGATTCCATGTAATTGCTTATATTTTATTATTTATTTATTTTATTATTCTATTTTTGAAACTACACCTCCTAATATTAGAAATAATGAGTTATTAACAAACTTGGCATATAATGAGTGATACAATAAAGTGAAAATTTGTTGTTTAATGTGGGTATAAACTTATTATGTTTTCTAATCTTAAGTTGTAGTGGAGCATACTATTATTATGTTGGAATTTGACATATGTTAAAATAATTTTATTTTTTTAGAATTTAAAATTGTGTTATATGCATGGTTCCGATTTACTTGTTTAGCAGTTTGGCTCACATTGCATGTTGTTTATTTTTAATTTAGAATTGATAGATTAGTTTTGTCAAACATTTGAATAATATTATGACATTATATTTATAAATATTAATTTATTTTATCAAACATGAATTCATGATGTACTTGCGAAACGTATGTTTTTAGCTTTTGTATGTATCTAAACTAAATATTATTAATTTTGAAAATATATAAAAAAATTATTTTTACAATATTAATTATAAATATATGATTACTAATTAATGTATATTCTCGAAAAATATACATCTTAAATACCAAATATAATATCATTTATACTTATAAAAATTTGTAGGCATATGTATTTATTTAACTTTTATGTTTTGATAATTATTTATTTAAAATTTAATATAACTATGTAATTACATTTGTGCAATCAAACAGTAAATTTATAATTACACTGTAATTATACTATGACAAACAAACAGGTCGTCGTAATTACTAGGCTGTGTAATTACGAGGCCGTATAATTACTACCCTAGTAATTACACCAATTCCAATTACTTTTCAAAGGGACCCTAATTAAAAAAGCGATACTTTTGGTATTAAAAAAAAGTGACAGAGGTGGCCGCCTCCTGCCCGCCAACCGAAATAAGAGTAAGTGCAATGCTGACGTTTTAGGAGTGAATGGAAATGTTGTGAATGTTCCCAATTTTGATATAATATCAGCGACGCAAAGCAGGACACGAGTGTTGTCATTCTTGTTAACACTCCCATCCGTTACCCCCAAAAACTCCTCAGCCGCCACTCTTTTGTAAAAATGGTTGTGGGTGTTCTTGCTTTACAGGGATCTTTCAACGAACACATAGCAGGTTTCATTTTCGTTGTGCTTAATTTTGTATGGTTGTTTCTTTTTATTAGTGAAAGTTGCTGTCTTTATTTACGCATTGTTCTTTTTGTAGCATTGAAAAGATTGGGAGTGAAAGGGGTGGAGGTGAGAAAGCCACAACAGTTGCAGAATGTGAGCTCCCTTATCATTCCTGGTGGTGAGAGCACTACCATGGCTAAGCTGGCCGAGCTCCACAATCTGGTATATCCGCGTGTGTGTGTGTGTGATAAGAGTCTTTTAATTGATAACACATTGGCAGTGGCGGAGCCTGGATTTTTACCAAGGGGATTCGGAATATTAAAAAGTAATAACACAAACATGCCAAGGGATTCAACATCTACTATTTATGCATAATTTTGACCTTATATATACAGTGTAATTTTTCTAGCTCCGCCCCTGTGTATTAGCATCATCATATGTTGGTAGTAATAAGTGAACGACATGTCTAATTGTTTTTTTGGTTGTTTATTGAGCCCTGGTTAATTGGGCGGCATAGTTGAGAATTGTAAGTTGGTGTAATAATAAGAGTAACATTTAGGGACGACAAAGTGGTGTGGTGTAATTGTTAGAGGCAGAGCACCCTTTATTAGAGGTTTCAAGCTCCAGCATATGAATGGAGAATCTTTTGGCTCTTTAGGGGAAAGAGGTGAGATTTAGGGATATTGTAGATTTAGAGAATTCGCATAACATGCCCCAACTAGTTCGAGATTGGGGAAATTATTGTTGTTGAATTTGATTTTTGGAGCATTGTGAGAAGTATTGAGTACAAAAGGCTGAACTTTGCTAGTTTATGTTGTTTATTCAACAAAGGTAAAATAAAAGGTTTCATTTTGTGTCCGAACCTACTTATAGTGCGGCTTTGTTTGTTAATTACTGACACTTGTTCCTACTGTCAGTATAGAATAAATCGTGATTTTATTAGTTGTTTGTTGTTGCATTGTTTGTTGGGGTATCTTAGTGTATCTTTGGATGTATAGGTGCTTAATTGTACCAATTGGTATTAATTATTGTGCTTGGTATAATTTTTCTCCACGTTAGTTTAATCGTGTTTCTAATTGCAGTTCCCTGCTTTGCGCGAGTTTGTTCAATTGGGGAAGCCAGTATGGGGGACATGTGCAGGCCTCATTTTCTTGGCAAATAAAGCAACTGGTGGGTGTTCAACTCCATATCTTGCTGTACATTGTAGGGCAATTTTTGCAAACTTTTAAGTTGCTTATCTTCTTGATTTAATCTTATAATGCCAAGGGGTCATAATTTTTTTCGAAAAATAACTATTTCATGGTCTATATATTAGCCATTTGTGTGTCTGTAGGTTTGAAATTGGCATATGCTCATAAACCATAGGAATTACGTTGTATGAGTAAACAAAGCTTTTTAATCATTTATGTCCTCTTTAAAGATCTATATTACTGCTATCCTTTGCTATAATATCGCATGAAAGCTAGTTGATCTGGTTAACTCATTCATCAATAAAGTCCTACCCGATTGACAGCCTTTCAACCAGCCCTTTGGCTTTCCACCGTGAGAACAAATATTGTCATAAGATAAGCATCCTATTTTGACTACAAAATGGTATTTAAGAATGAACAAAATTTTTGAACTATATTCAACATTTCTAAAGTTGAGAATAGTATATAATTTTTCTTTAAAAATGAATCTGAAATATACCGAACAACAGAGACTGTCATGTCACTCTTTGGTGTAGCTGATGCAAATTGTATTTGCTGGTAGTGGCTGAATATTTTAATCTTCCCTTTGGTAGCATGTTAGGATCTATATTGGTTAAGATGGTGAAAAAAATGCTAATATAAGGGGGCTTATAGTTTTCACCACCTCTGATAGACTTTCCAGGATTCAGCCATCTCTTAACTAGATTCACCACCTAAAGAAGAAAGATGGTGACTCATTCTTTTGATATTGACCACTGACGTAATAATTATTCACATCAATTGACAAAAAGGTGTTTCACCTTACTGCACGCCTACTTCGGCCTGGTGGTGAGAATTGAGAATAGAAATTTGATTTTTTTCTCGAACTCAAGAGCTACTGAGGTGTCGGTCTGTAAGTGTAAAACTATGGTGATTGAAGATGTTAAAAGCAGATGTTGTAAACATAATATCACATGGATAGAAGTTATCTTGAAAGACTTAAAATCTCTTGGAATCCATGTAAACTCAGGAAAAAGAAAGGGCACAATGGAAGAAACATCCATAGCCATAGCTGATACCAATTAGTTGAGATTATGGTTTAATCATGTTGGTACATTACTTTAGGTCCAACACTCATCTAGGAGTCTATTAGCTTTGCAGAGATATGTATGCCAGTAGAAATGTAGAAAATTTCGTGTGTTGCAGAACCTAAAAAGTTTTGTATTGGATTGAGACGAGTCGAAATGGAGCGATATGTAAGATGTGGATTCATATAGCTGACCTCAACTAGCTTGGGATCATGTCATAGTTGGTGAAGACAAAAGCTATTTAATATATGCTCATTGAACACCACTCCGTTAGGTACGATGTTATATGATCTAGTCCATCCATGTACAACTTCACCGATCCCGTGAACTTTGTACTTTGGTCCTCATTTTTTCACATGTAAGGGCCTCATCGGACAAGCTAAGTCGGTCTGGCTTGGACTTGAGGGAGTTAAGAATTTTGTCTTTTAGGGAGTAGTCTTTCTCCCTAGATAAGATGACTATGATCTTTCCTTCTATGGAGCCAGATGTGAGCTTATCGTGTGCTGATCTTACTCAAAGTGAGTAAATAGGAGTGGCCACATCAATTACAACAGACACAGAGGAAGAAAAAGAAATACTCGCTTTTCGGACTAAGATGCTGACTTTGCCATGGAAAGAGTAACAGGAAGAAAGTCTTGGCCTACCCTTGTTCTACACTTCGAACTATGTTGATAGATACCACAGAGAAGATCATTCTGCTGGTTTTATTTGTTCTGCCATATTAATAGTACTATTTTAAACCACTTCTGCAACTTTCGAGAATTCAAACTTAACTTTTCAAATCTTAAACCTTGATTTGATGTTCTTTTTAAGCAAATTTTCACTTTAGTGTTTAGTACTACCAGTGGTATAACACAAAACTAAATTAGCCTTTCGAACACTGTACACAGTCAAACATATGCAGGGAGTGTTCTCTTGAATCTACTTTCCACTGAGAAGGAAAGTATCAGGAAATAATTTACCGTCTTAGATCTTTTCTGGGATTTTGCTGCTCAGTTGTTCTAATAAGACCTCCTTACTATGTGTTCTCTGTCATTGCTAGACTCAATAGAGAGCAGCATTTGAAAAACTGTTATTTTTTATTTTATCATGTCAAACTTTGATATTATGCTTTTATTCGTAAAGGAATAAAGCATTGCCGTAACCAGATATCATTAAATTAGGCAATTTAATCCAAGGCACTTTTGAGTTTCACACAAATTTTGAGAAATTGTTTTTTTAGTATTAATTTTTCTTCATTAGTCTAATCACTTGTAGAGTTGTTCCCCCTCTCCACTAATTCAAAATGATATAAAGCTCATTTTGTGTGGTTTGGTAATCACATTTTCTTTTTGAATACCCTCTTACTGTTCTTTACCATATTGCGGCAAAAAGATCTTATGGCACATTTTGTGGCTTTCTTCTCAGGGCAGAAAACTGGAGGACAGGAACTGATTGGGGGCCTTGATTGTACCGTACACCGAAACTTTTTTGGGAGCCAGGTAAATGATGGTTCCTCCTCCAGGTCTCAATTGAATAGACAGCCAAGAATGGAGGAAACTCATTTGTATAGATAAACAAGCGTTTTGTACCATGTCTATATTAGTTGGAGGGATGGAGGGAATTGTAAGCATGCTTATGTTTTATTGTTATGAAGTTAAAGCATATGCTACATAAGCCCCCCACC